ATGATGTGTCACATAAAGTTGTTTATTTCTTTTGTTATAGGCATTTATTGTTATAAATATCCCTCTCAGAACTGCTTTGCTGCATCCCATAGGTTTTGGTATGTTGTGTTCCTATTTTCATTTGTCTCAAGATATTTTTTTATTTCCCTTTTAATTTCTTCTTTGACCCTTGGTTGTTCAGTAATATGTTGTTTAATTTTCACTTATTTGTGAATTTTCCAAGATTTCTCCTGTTACTGATTTCTAGAGAAACTCTGTACTCATTAAACAGTAACTCCTCATTCTCTCCCCACCCCCCAGCCCTTGGTAACCACTATTATTCTTTCTGCCTCTATGAATTTGACTGTTCTAGGTACCTCATGTAAGTGCAAACACAATACTTGTCCTTTTGAGACTGGCTTATTTTACTTAGCATAATGTTTTCAAGGTTCGACCATGTTGTAGCATGTATTAGAATTTCCTTCCTTTTTAAGGCTGAATAATATTCCAATGTATCTGTATGCCACATTCTGTTTATCTATTCACTCACCAATGGACATTTGGGTAGTTCCCACCTTTCGGTTATTGTGAATAATAGTGCTATAAACATGAATAGACAAATATCTGTTTGAGTCCCTGCTTTCAATTCTTTTTGGTATGTACCTAGAAGCAGAATTGCTGGATCATATGATAGACAATTCTGTTTAGTTTTTTGAGGAACTGCCATACAGTTTTTCACAACAGTTGTACCATTTTACATTCTCACCAGCAATGTATAGGGTTTCCAATTTCTCTACATCCTTATCAATGCTCTTGTTATTGTCCATCTTTTTATTGTAACCACTCTGGTGGATGTGAAGCTGCTTTGGAGCTTATAGGGGAAAAAAATGATTTTCTCTCTACCCTTCTGAGTTCTTAGCTGAGACAGACTTCTGTAATACACAGATTAACATGAGAAAAACAGTTTATTAACATGTAGACCTCTGGTATACATGGGAGATACCAGGGAAATGAGTATACCTCAAAGAGGTGGCTTAGAATTCAGGCTTAAATACCATCTTCAGCTGAAATAAAGAAAGAAGAGTATAGGGGAGGCAAGTTATGATAAGGTTACCAGGAAAAGCATGGTAAACAAGAATAAGGTTTATTATACAGATTTAAGTTGGTACCTTCTCTATTGATAAGATTCTCTTGTGAATTACTGTCATCCTTCTCTTCCTGGTACAGAGAGGAAGACACACAAATGGAGATTTCTTATATGGATGCACATTCCCCTTAGAAAAGGGTAACTTCTATTCTGTTTTCAGAGCTTTTCTGGTGTCTGTTTCTCCAAATAGTCCTATGTCAGAGAGGCATAGTTTGGGGTGGCATACTCTGGTTTCCTAAAGTCATATTTTCAGGTGGCCTATTCTCATCTCCTACAAGCTCTAGAAATACATTGTTTTTCCACTTTCCTTTTGATTTTGGTCAGATCATTTCTTACTATCATATCACCTCTTTAATGCTTTTAGGGGATCCCTTTGATGCTTTTAGGGGAAGCATCCCTAAAATTTACACTCTAGCCAGCATTTTTATTTGTATTCAGCAGAAGAGTTGGCCCAAATAACCTAGTCCACTGTTATAAATTCCAGCAATCAACTTTTTAAAGAGCCCTCCCTGCACATCCCCTATCTCTCTACCTTTTTTTCTCTCATAGCCAAATTTCTTAAAAGAACTGCCTGAAAAGAATTGGAATATATTGTGTAACCAGTTCCACCTCCTATTGTCTCTTCAACCCAATCCAAAGTTGGTTTCTGCCTCCAATACTCCTTCAGCAGAATTTTAGTTTTTTCTTGTTAAATAAACACTCTTTCTTGATATTCATGACACCACGTTCTTAAGCATTTATTCACATTTCTCTGACTCCTTTTCCTTTACTGATCTATTAGTTATTTGCAGTGGGACTAAACCTAATAGTAAATGTTCTATATCCTGCTATTTTCTTCACTTTTAGAAATTATTAATGAAAATTTATGTGACAAAAATAGGCACCATAACCTATTTGTTCAAACTATTATGGCATTTACCATGTCATAAATAGTTATAGCTGTCTCCTCCTTATTCCCTCATAGTAAGCTCTTTTAGAACAGGTCCAGATCCAAAACATAAATACTAAATAACTGGCTGTTGAATAAAAAGTGAATAAATGAACAAATAAAGGTTAATATGCTATTGCCTTCACTCTCAATTACATTTCAGCCTAATTCCTGAAGAGCAGATGCAAATCAGGACAAATTTGCAATGTTTTTACACATTGTATAAAATGTACGTGCTAGAAATCTATTGTTAAAACAAAATAACTATCCATTAAAAAGTGTAATTTACGTTCAAAATATCCCCCCCAAATTACACAGAATATACAAATACCAAAATTAAATATGTAAAACAAGAAAAGTTCCAGTGGCTTAAAGCTGTTTCTGTAAGTTGGAAAATCAAAAAAGAACAGTCTTGGGGTTATCAAGAAGGCTTTAGACAGAGGAGCCTTTTAAGGAAAAATTGGAAGTCCAACAGAGCCTTTGTGATAGGGTAGGTGAAACTCCAGGGACAGTTTGTCTTTCTCAGGATATACGCAACTACTAAGGTTTCCGTTCTGACTTTTTTTAAGGTAGTGGGGAAGTACAATTAAATCGAATTACACCTAGACTAACGTGGCTTGTCTATCTGCAGTAAGATTTCCAGGATTCCGCTGTGCAACGCAATACTAAACAACTGAACGTTTCCTCCAGCGATGAACAGAAGTCTTGAATGTTGAAAAAAAAACCAAAAAACCGGCTTTCTCCTCGGGTTAATTCGGATTTGTCTCAAAACCAGACACAGATGCACGCAAAGTTTAGCACTTACCAAGAACAAATGTTAGCACCCGACCCCTGTGGGCAGCCCTCCCCATTTGTGCCCTTCGGCCTGACCAGGCCCAGCTGATACCCCTCCGTGCGCGGCAGGGTCACCCAGGGGGCCGCGACCCTCACCTGCATGATGTTCTGCTGTGCCCCTCACGCCCTCGCTTCGTCCCGCCGCTGTTGAGGTACCAGGGCTGAGACCTTAAGCCTCCTCAAGGTGTGAAGAGGGCCCGCTTCAAGCCTAGCGGTTTCGAACGCCCTCGGGGAGGAGGAGGGGCTAACAAGGACTTTTTACGCATGTGCGCCCGCTGTAGCTTTGTTGCCAGGCAACGCAGAGGCGTAACTTAAGGGATGGCTGTGGGTACTGACGCACCAGGTTCTGCAGCATCTATCCCAAACAGTGCCTTTCCAGTTGGCTGTGTGGTGCTAGGGCTGGCAGTCCTTTCCTCCTTCCCTCCACCACCAGCAAATCAATCAGTTGTCCTGTCTTCATGGAGAAAAGACAAACCCCTGAGGTGGAGAACCCTCAGAGGAGGAGTTCTTAACCTGGAGCCCATAGCCTATGTTTGGATAGATTTTAGGGGATATCTAACCCCCAGCCCCAGTGTACACATAATTTTGTTGCATGTGTACATTTGTTTTGGAGTAAGGACCAGAGCTTTCATCAGATTCTCAAACGGAACTGTAGTTCCCTACCCCCATCTTAAAAACTTATTGCTTGAGGAGACAGGGGCTCTGGCTTCCGGTAGGAAATCTAGGCAGTTGGGTTCTTTCGTATTTTGAGTTAAGGAAAGGGGGTATACTGGGAGCTGCCAGAAACTTGGAGAAAACAGTGTTGTACGAGGGTACTTCAAAAAGTTCATGGAAAGACTAGTATTAATTACCTTTTAGTTCTATTTTTCCATGAATTTTTTTAAGTACCCTTGTACACATTATTATGCATATGATCCCAGATATACTCAACAGGATTTATAAAAGAAGGAAAAAATGTTTTTAATGACACAATTTTAAACTTGGGTTCAGCATTGGACCACTCCATCTGTAGTGACCAGTTAATCATAGAAATCCTATACTCCTAGTCCATACAGTCTGTTGTGTTCGTAAATTAGACATTAATTTGTTAAGTATAAATATATAAAAACATCACAATTTTTGTAACCATTTCTTGGTATTTCTTCCTCTCCCCTTCTTCCTCCTTCTCCTCCTCCTTTATCCTAGGAGCCCTAAAAAATGTAAGTGACCTATGTCTCTCTGGATTTCTGAGAGGTCTTGGAAACTGATGCTTAAATTAATATTCAACTCCCTTTTTTATTTTGACAACCCAAAATCCAGTTAGTTAATTTACTGTGCACAGAACCAGCTAATGCTGCCCCATGCATTTGTTGCTTTAGAGAAGGAGGCCCTTTCTGCTCTCCAGTCCCCATCTTGTCAAGGCAATTCATTTTTTAAAGAATAATGTAGTAATTTCTGCCCTCTTCTACTTCTTTTTTGCTTATGTTGACAAGAAATGAAAATTTGTAACTTTGTTAGTAAAAGGTATAAATTAAGCTATAATCATTGGTCAACATTAGGAAGACAAAGGTTTGTTATATACTTTGCACCGAAGAATACATAGAACTAGTCCTACCTACTCAAAGAGCTCTCCCTCTCTAATCAGCCAGTACCTCCTTGATGGAGGAGGTGGGAATCCAAGAGAGAGGTCAGAAGGGAAAAATCAAGGGGAACCTGAAGAAAGATAAACTCAGCCTTTATCTGAGGTTAATTGTGTCCAATGAACATTGATTTGATGTAAAAAGTTTTCCAAGTGTGTTCATGATTCTCTACTAGTAAGATTATTTTCTTCCTAGTAATAGACAAGACTGGTTGCCTTTCACATGATTCAGGATGAAACAACTTATTTTAAGATTAACTGAATACTAGAAAGCCCCCTGATATATTCATAGCAGTCAGGAATCCATTTTATAATATAAAAATCAAAACTTGCTTATTGGACTATTGGATTGGTCATGACCACATCCCCCAGCTAGAGTAGTTTCGATTGTTATTCATATTCTAAGATTGTTAACTGTTGGGCATTCTGGTATTTATAAGGGCTGATGATTTTGTCACTGACAAAATCCACACAGAATAAATTAAAATAGCTCATTAAAATTCAACTCCCTCTGAGTGCCTTTAATAAAAATATCAAAAAAGCATGTCTGCCAGTACTATCAAAAGCTACAGGGATTTAAGGAACATAATTATTGATAGCTTTTTTATACACCATTTATCATTACAACACTAAGAAAAAAATACTTTAAGATGCTTTTTGAAAATTTTCAACAAATTAAGCATTTAGTCTCACCCAACTTTTACTGAGAATGTTTACAATACAGAAATTTTCTACAGAATAAACTTAGCAAGGATTGTTTTTGAGAAGAAAAAATGTCAATAGATTTTGTATTCCGTAGCACTTGCTTTGGTGGAAAATCAGCTGGCATCCTGTAAAAAAAGGAAAATTGAATTAGATTCAAGTGTAAATGAGTATGTGAATGTGTGTATGTGATGTTTGCACATAGACATTTCTATAAACACTTTGTCATAGTATGATAACATTGGTACCTCAAATATTTCTCAGCTGTTCTTCAGTCTGTATATTTTTAACTATATATCATTTATATCTCTCTCTGATGGAACATTTATACTATACGTCTGTGTTTTCCAAAAGTTTACAGTGTTTAACCATATAAAAGTGGTTTCCTAAAGCTCATTACTACCAGTAAGATTCATGAATAAGATATTTAAAAAGTTGTACAGTCACTCTTCATATATCTATTTCCATAAATTTGCAATTAAATCATCCTATTTTATGTTTAATCACTTTCTAAATAAACATAAGTCATCAGGATGGAAGAAATAATCAGATGAGATTAGATAATCAGATGAGAAAACAAAGAAAAAAGTGATTATTGAATTGCTTTTCTATTGGCAAAATAAAATGAAATCCTGAGTAAATTAGTCTGTGTATACCCTAACCTTGGAAATAATCCAAATAAAGCAATTTTTCTCAACTTCAGAGAGAATTCTTTACTAACTTGATCAAATTATGGATTAATTCCATTTCACACTGTGAACACTCTAACATTTGGTTTGGTGTTACCATCACAGACATTTTTTTTTCATTTAGTATTAAACTATTTTGTTTACATTTTTTAAATACCTGTGTACATTTGTAATATTACAAAAGATAGACTCATTAACTCTCTATTTTTAGTTTCTTGAAAAAACAGAAAATTAAGAGTCTGTTTTCTCATATTCCTCACATGACCATATCAAGCATTTTTAAAACAGGAGTTAATGCCAAACACAGTTTGAAAATTCAAGTTTCTAATTAGGTCCTATGAGCATGTTAAATCTTTCCTTTGCTTTTCCAGTATCTGTATCTTTTCTTTCTTTCTTGTCTAATTCAACTGGCTAATGCACTAAGAATTACATCAGAGCTGTGGTTACTAGAATTGGAAAAGGGGGTCGTGGGGGTTAGTGAGAAACTGGTTAATGGACACAAAGAATCATTAAGTTTTGTAGTAATGAATATGTTAATTATCCTGATTTGATCATCACACATCGTACACAGGTATTGACATTCAACTCTGTACCCCACAAATATGTGTAATCAATTATGTCTCAATAAAAAAATATTTTTTTTAAAAGAACTACTGTAAATAAAAAAGCAAGAGAGTATCTTTTTTTTGGTGGCTGGACGGTACGGGGATCCAAACCCTGGTGTTAGAAGGCTGCACACTAACCAGCTGAGCCAACAGGACAGCTTGGGGAATAGCCTTATTTTGTTCCTAACATTAATGGAAATACTCCAAAGGGTTTCACTGTCAAGCCTGTTACCAAATTTGTTCAAGACCATTATATAGTAAGGTCAAGAAAGGACTCACCTTTCTGTAGGATCTTTTAAAAGATCAGAAATTGATGTGGAATTTTACCAAACGCATCTATTGAGATTATCATATAATTTTTCTTCTTATGGTGATATATTTTAACAGACTTCCTAATGTTGAACCATCCTGCAGTAGCCGGAACAAATCTCACTTAGTGGGGTCGTACTGATGAAAAGTATTTAATAATATTTCCTTTAAATTTTTGCATTGATAATTATAAATAGGATTGACTTACAATTTCCATTTTTATACTATTTTTGTAAGGTTTGGGTATTAATATTATGCTGGCTTCATAAAGATATTTGGAGATTTTTCTTATTTCTCTGAGCTGAAAAAATTCAAAATCTATCGGCTTAGTACTTTTTGAGGGGATAGTTTCTAGATAACATTTTCATTTTTTTCCCATAGCTATTAGTCTGTTTAGATTTTTTTTTTTTCTTCTCAGGTCAATTTTGGTAGCACCTATTTTACTACACAGTCATCCATTTTATCCATGTTTCTAAACTGGTATGCACAGAAATGAGCAAATTACTCTTTTTTGATCTTCATTTCTTCCACAGCTGTTTTAATTTCTGTCTTTTCATTTATATTTTTGTATATTTATCGTTTCACCCTTTTTTCCTCATTAGGCTTGGCCAATCAGGCTAGTTTAGCTGATTTTCTGCAAAAATAATCAGATTTTTGCTTTGTTGACCAATTTACTATTTTTAATTTATTTATTTATTCTTTTATTCTTATAATTTTCCTCCTTCTGCTTTCCTGAAGTTCACCTTGTTGAGTTTTTGGGTTTTTTTTTTTTTTTTTACTTATTGAGTTAAATCCTTAATTCATTAATTCTTCTTGCTTGGTTTAGGTCTTGAATTTTCCACTGAAAATTGCTTTGACAGAGTCCCCTGAATTTTAATATGTAGTGTTTTTATTATATTTTCTCTAGTTATTGTATAATTTTGGTGTTGATATCTTCTTTACTTAGAAAGGTACATTTGGGTTTCTGTTTCTTTGAGAAAATATAAAGTATTGTAACGTTCTTTTAACATCAATTTTAACATTCTTAAGCTAAATATATGAGGGTACTTCAAAAAGTTCATTAAAAAAAAACAGAATTAAAAGATAATATGAATCTTTCCATGAACTTTTTGATGTACCCTCATATTTAAGGGCTCAGATAAATGAAACAAATGAAATATTTGCAAAAATATATTCAGCATAGAATCTGGATTTAGGGTTACAAAAAGACAGAATATACTTTTATTTCTGTGGAATAAATTTATCAATCAGCATTTCGATTTGCTTTCAAAGTTTATAGTCCAATAAGATATTAGGATTAACATAATAAACATCTACTGGCCCCACATGTTAATCCTAACAACTAGTGGCTATTAAGTTTCTATGCATGCCCGGCACTCTGAGAGTACCAAATTACAAGTCATGCTGTCACATCTTTCCACATTTTCTTAATTCTCTAGAAACTGATAAATTACAAGCTTTTATATATAATCTTTGAATATGAGTTATTTGGAAGCCAGAAGTACATTCAGTCTATAAATCTTGGCCCATTATGGTAGACACTAACTGCCACAATAAGAATTCAATCCTCGACATATACTATTTGTACAATAAATGATAAGATCAATGTCTACAAAATCAATTTTTTTTTTTTTCGTGTCGGGCAACGGACCGCAACCCTCAGTGTCGCGCCCGTACCGGACCGGGACCGGCAATGGGATCGCAACCCTCGGTGCTGCGCCCGCCCCTCGCTCAGCCAGTGAGCGGGAACCGGTCTGTATGTGGGATCTGAACCCTCGGCGGGAGCGCCACCGCGCTCCCAAGCGGCGCACTGTAGCAGTGCGCCACCGGGCCGGCCCATACAAAATCAATTTTGATGATTACTATTGTGGCATCATCTGAGAAATACTATGAGCATTGTCTGAGGAATTCTATGGGCAAAGCAAATCAGGCCCTAAAATACTGGTATTTTCCATCATATAAAGCCCTTATAGCCCCTATAACTGTAGTATTTATATAGAATATTAGTGTACATATGCAATCAAATAAGAGAAATGTTAATGAGCATAGTTGAAAACAACAGAAATGTTCAAACTGGGTTGAACTGTGAAACACATACCATTTTTTAAAAATTTATTTATTTATAATAAACTGTGAAACACATACCATTTTAATGAAACTGGCTGACCTTTTTCCATTGCGTGGCTGAAAAATAATAATTTAGAAATAAATCACTGTAACTAAGGATGGAAGCTAATATTCATAGAAAGCAGCCTAATGATCCAGAGGAGTATTCCTTTAATGTGCATCAGAATCACCTGAAAGGCTTTTTTACAACAGACTGCTGGGCCCCATAGCCGGAGTCTCTGATTTAGTAAGTCTGAGGGCTCTAAAACTTGTATTTCTAACAAATTCTGAGGTGCTACTGATGCTGCTAAGGACCACAATTAATTAAATATTATTTGATTTTGCTCATTTTCTTGATGGAACCAAAATTTTAAAACAAGCATTCTCTATGAATATAAGCCCCAAAGCACAAGCAACAAAAGAAAAAAAAACAAAAACAAAAACAAATGGGACTATGTCAAATTAAAAAGCTTTTGCACAGCAAAGGAAACAATTGACAGAGTGAAACAACAACTTATGGGGTGGGGGAAAATTTTGCAAACTATACATCAGACAAGGGATTAATATCCAGAATACACAAGGAACTCAAGCGATTACACAGTAAAGAAACAAATAACCCAATTAAAAAATGGGCAAAGGAGCTGAATAGACATTTTTCAAAGGAAGACATACAAATGGCTAACAGGTACATGAAAAAATGATCAACATCACTAATCATCAGGGAAATACAAATTAAAACCACATTGAGATATCACCTCACCCCAGATAGAATGGCTATAATCAAAAAGATGGAGAATAACAAATGCTGGCAAGGATGTGGAGAAAAGGGAACCCTTCTACACTGTTGGTGGGACTATAAATTAGTACAACCACTATGGAAAACATCATGGAGGTTTCTCAAACAACTGCAGATAGAACTACCATACAGTCCAGCAATCCCACTTCTGGGTATATACCCAAAGGAATGGAAATCATGTCAAAGGGATACCAGCACTCCCATGTTCATCACAGCTCTATTTATAATAGCCAATATATGGAACCAACATAAATGTCCATGGACGGATGACTGAATAAGGAAAATGTGGTATATATACACCATGGAATACTACTCTGCCATAAAAAAGAATTAAATTCTGCCATTCACAACAACATGGATGATCTTGGAGAAACTTATGTCAAGTGAAATAAGCAAAACACAGAGGTAAAAATATCCCATGTGCTCACTCATAACTGGGAGCTAAGAGAGAAAGAAGGAAGGAAAGAAAGACCACAGTGGTGTGTTAGACTTGCAGAAGGAAAGAATATACCTAGGGATACAAAGTGGGGTGGTGGAGAGGGGGAAGAAGGTCAGGGATTAATTGGGTGGGGGACGTGGGTATAATTGCAATTTGTGGTAATGGGCATGCTGCCAGTATTGATCTGGCCATTACATCTTGGGCATGAATGGTGACGGTCAGCTTTGGGCCCCATGAATATTCACAACCAATAAAAAATAAATAAATAAATAAAATGTGTTCTCAATTTTAATTTGATATGAACCTAAATTAATGTACTGAAGTCACAGTTGTTTAGTATTTCTTCTTCCTGCTACTAGTCTAATTTCTTCATTCAATCCATTTTCTAATTTGCTGTTAGAATTATTTTCCAAAATGCAAATCTTACCATATGACCCCCCTTTAGCCTTTAAAGTAAAGTTGAAATTTCTTAGCTAAATATTTCATCAACCAATTCCTGTTGATTCTTCTGGATTCTCCATGAAGTCGTCTCTGTACCTCCTTCATTCCCCAGCTTGAGTTAAGTGCTTTTCTTTAAGAAACCAAAACCCCTGGACTGAAGGTGCATTTAACACAGTACTTTGTATTTGTTTATTTGTCTATTTCCTCTATTAGGCTGTAAACTCCTAGAGCATAGGGATGGAATCCTATCTGTCTTTATAGTCAAAACCCTTGGTACATTGCCCAGCATACAGTAGAAATTCAATAAATAATTGTTGAATGAATTACTTAAAATTTTCTGCTAATGTAGTAAGGAAGCAAATATTTTAGGAAGTAGCTGCTTAGAAAGAAACTCACATTTCATAGACAATTTGTGCATAAAAAATGAGAAATGCAATCACAAAGTTATAGCCTTTATTGTAGTTGATTCTTTTAATTTTAAGAACTTGTGAAAGTAGTCATAACTCTTCCAATCTACTAAATCAAAAATTTAGTAAATGGTTCCTCGGAACCTAATGAATAATGTATCTTTAAGACTCTTATTCTTATACATGAAATGTAATGGAATTAAACTGTCAAGTCAGTGAATGTCTTCTGGAGTATTTATAAACATGAGTAATGAATCAAAGATGCTGTAGTATTGAAGCAATAAGGTGGGGGATAGAAGATAATCTCAGGGGCCGGACCGGTGGCGCACTGGATTGTGCGCCGCTTGGGAAGCGCGGCAGCGCTCCCGCCCGAGGGTTCGGATCCCACATACAGACCGGCTCCCGCTCACTGGCTGAGCGAGGTGCGGGAGCAACACCGAGGTTTGCAATCCCGTTGCCGGTCCCTGGTCCGGTACGGGGGCAACACTGAGGGTTGCGATCCGTTGCCGGACACGGAAAAAAAAGACAAAAAAAAAAAAAAAAGAAGATAATCTCAGACTGTAACACCTGGTGTCAAATATCTATAAATAAATTTCAAAAACTTATCAAAACTTGTAAGTTAATTATGTGAGGAGTGAAAGTACGTTCCAATTTTGATACTGATTTAAAACAAAAATACAGTACACACATACCCTGAATAAAAAGAAGCTTCGACCTTGACTTGCAAAAGGACTTTGAAATTTTTCCTGAAAGAAAATGAGAGCATCTCAAATCAAAGAAGTGCAAATTCTTCTTCAGAGTATAGGGGAGCTCAAAGTTATTTTCAACTATTATAATTGAACAAAGACAGAATCAAGGATTTGAGTATATAATTTATATCAATAGGAAATCTTTATATTTATACCTGAAAAATTTCAACAACTAGCAGTATCATCTGAACATTGTATTTAAAAATAATTTCTTTATCAATATGACAGATTCTCTTTTCAACAATTTTGTCAATTGTACATGTACTTATCAATAAGTGGAAAGAGAAATGACAGATACTTTTTTTTTTTTTTTTTTTTGTGGGTCAGGAATTTATTTTATTTTATTTATTTTATTTTAAAATTTTTATTATTATTATTTTTTTTAATTTTTTTTATTTTTTTTTTTAATTTTGTCAATATACACTGTATATGATTATTATGGCCCGAAGCAAACGGAAAGGACATTCTTGGGGGGGAGGGGAGAGAGGGAGGAGGGAGGGAGGTGTCGGTGACGGGACAGATACTTCATAATTAACTATATTTAAAATCTCTTTTCAGCATTTTGTAAGAATGAAATAATTTCTTTAAAATATATACTGTATGTATTAACACATGAACAGGGAAAAATATAATGTAAAATTGTGTTAAACTTAAAAAATATTACATAATATTTCCATAGGAATATGGACTGAAATTGAGGAACAACTTTGGTAAACCATGTTTATTCAGTGATACTGTAGAAGAGATTTTCCTAATGTAATCATATGTACAAAGTGGTAATAAAAAAAAAATACCAAATAGGAACATACCAATTATTCGTAATGAGTATATTTTGTAGTGTTTCTTTTTTTAAACATTTCATTTTAAACTTCATGGAAAAATACTTAACATTTTATGGTTTCCATAAAATTGGCTTGTAGCTTCCTTTTTTTAATTAACAATTACATATCATAAAAGTATTGCTAGCTTGGTAACACCATGAAATTTCTCAGTTGAGACCCTTTTCAGTTATTCCATAATATAAGTACAATCATATTCTTAAGAAATGGCTCTAATATCTATTTAAATTCTGAAATCCTTGATTTACAACAAATATATCTTAAATTCTCAATATTTGCACTTTATTCTCATCTTTACTATAACCTCTCCAAATTACTTAAGAATGAAAAATTAGTATTTAGAAATTTACATATAGAAACAGTATGTTGATATGCCTATATAAGAAAAGTTCTCAAGTATATTAAAGAGAAAAAAGAAAAAGGTAGGATAAAATGTAAATTAAAATGTACCAAATATTTAAAACTTTCAAATGCAAAATTCAAACATGCAGGTGGTTTTACAGTCTTGTCATTGGAGATAAAGCAGTATATGAAAGAATTTGGGAGCTAGAGCTAAAAAATGATGTGGGGATGAACGTGGAAGATATCTAGCAAACAAAATTCAAAAAAAGTATAAGAATGCACTAAGATTAGAAACTTTTCTTCTTCAAGAATTCAAAATACTTCACTATCAAAAATACATTTTAAAATTAAGTGACGTAAGCCCAGCAAATCTAACACTACTGCAGTTGTTTTTCTATTCATCTCTTACATTCTTTTCTTTCATAGTTTCCTAGGAAACTTGATTTGCTGCAAAATATTTTTAGGATTTATCATTTGTCTAACAGGATGTACTAATAAGTCAGAGTTCACATTTTCACCTAGCTGTCTGGGAATATAGATGGTCTCACTCAAGGTAGAGAATTCAGACAAAGTATTAAACTGGCCATAATACTGAGTCTTTAGCTCTGGTTGTGTAAATATTGACACTGAAATAATGTAGTCAAACTAATAATTAGTGTATTTTAAGAAACCGTGTCTTCAGGTTGAAATTGTATGCTATTCATCAGTCAAGCAATTTAGGAATTAAAAGTTAATTCGAAAATAGCATATATTACTTCTTAAAAGTTTGATGACAACGGATTTTTTTTTTCATTCTGGAAATTCCAAAATTTTAAGAGGCTACTATATTTGCTCTTAAATTTTCCTTCAAAGTTGGCAGCAGATACTGTCTTCTTCAATGGAAATTTAGTTTAAGAATGTGAGGAACTTAGAGAGGAAATAGTGACTATAAAAATAAATTTTGAGGAATTTATTTACCTCAACTTTATGCATTTTTGAAAGCATTTGAAGACTTTGGGTAGCACTTTTTTAAAATAATAAAATAAATATGGCATTGAAATTAAAAACTGAGTTCAACTTTTAATAATAAAATATATAATTTAACAATAACATAATAAAAGTATCCAAGATTAAACCTTAAAGGGAACAGCATAGTGAAAAAAATATTTGCCTAGACTAGAAGTCAGATGGTCAATGTAATCTCTCTTACTAGTATGCTCTTGGGAAACTCCAACTATTTTGACTTGCTTTTCCTTTTGTAAACCGGGATAACAATACTGGAATAAGTACTAATAGAGTTCCCAAATGAATGAAATAAGATGATATAAGACTGAAAATTATACTGTGTTACAACAAGGTAAGGCATGACTTAAAAATAATACTTGGAAACTTTCAGCATCAAACGAGTTAGGATTCTTCTTCAATGACAATAAAACCTCCACGATTTCTAGTCAAGAATGTGTTAACTCAGTTATATTCATCTTACACCTAAATACCGTATTTAGGTTATATTTCTGTTAACTATGGAAAAAACAAAATATCTGCATTTAGTTTCTGATGTACTTACTTCACGAGACTTATACTTACCAACATTTTAATCCTTGCACAAAAAGCTTGCCACACGGGCCGGCCCAGTGGCGCACTGGATAGTGCGCCGCTTGGGAAGCGCGGTGGCGCTCCCGTCCGAGGGTTCGGATCCCATATGCAGACCGGTTCCCGCTCACTGGCTGAGCGAGGCGCGGGAGCAACGCCGAGGCTTGCGATCCCGTTGCCGGTCCCCGGTCCGGTACGGGGGCAACACTGAGGGTTGCGATCCGTTGCCGGACACGGAAAAAAAGACAAAAGACAAAAAAAAAAAGCTTGCCACCCTGGATACAGAGGGCAGGAAATTGACCTTTATTTGTTCTCCTATTCCTACCTAACGACCAGACACATTGCAGTGTCCTTTCTTAAACCAAGAATAGGTCTTCTCACTGGGAGAATCATGGCCCTTGGAAGGGGGAATAATCCCAGCTTTCCTCACCATCCCCAGCTTGAGTTAGAAGGGACGTAATATGGAGTGGGAATAGGGGGGCTGAACAGTTCTCTTCTTCCCGAGTGTGAAAACACCTCTGCAAACAGATGCCCTTACATTGGCTACCTGGGTGTCAGTGTGGGGCTTATCCTCAAAGAAGAGTATTTTATGAGCTACCACAACTGGGAATTAACAGAAAGGGCTGACCACACAGAGTGGCAGAGCAAGCGTGCAGTTTATATTACATACGTGAACTCTGAACCTCTTCATTCTTCTCTCCTGCAGTTGAGGAATGAGCTGCAGCAACGGATGCACGACCGACGACTGAGAGGACATGAACACACACAGGATGAGCACAGTGGCGTCTCAGCATCGGGCATAAACACGGCTGCCTGTCAGTTTTTGTTTTTCCCCACTATACTTGTCCCAGACAAAAAGGAAAATTGAAGACAATATATAAGGCAGCCCTCTGTGAATACTTCAAAGAACTGCGGAGAATAAGCCAAGAGACGGAATAAAATTTGGTAGCTCCACGCTAGGATTTTTGTTGTCTTGTTGAAGACGCACTTTCCTGAGGGCCTCGGCTCTCTCGTCAGCTGCACACAAGTAAAACCTCTCATTGCATCTTCAAGAGGCAAAAAACAGTCTGTCTGCTTCCAGACTTACTCAAAATGATTTGGGCCAGATGAAACTAACTCTGTATCAGTTTTCCATTATGAACATGTTTATCTGGAAGGTCACACTAACACAGTCCAGTAATCTCCTTTATAAATTATATATTTAAAACTGAAACATAAGGAGCAAGACAACAGGAGACACAAAAATGACAATGTGTTCTTGATAGTGAAAAATGTGACTAAGATACAGTTTCTCAAAATGTAAACATGCCAAGTAGGAGAAAATGAAAGCACACTTCAGACATGTAGCTACCTGATATGGTTGCATTTTTTAAAAGATATGGCTTGAATTGTGACTTCTCACTAATATTAAATTTATTTATCAAATGGATTAGTTTGAGCCCTATATAATGGTTGTCTGTTAACCAGTTCAACTTGTATTTGGTATAAAGCCAATATAACCTAACTTCCAATTCCTTGTATATAAGAATATTCCATGTGATAAACATTTAAAACTGAATTTTAGTTTACAGTTACCTTTCCACCGGTATGCACATGTTTAAAACACACTATACTCTTCATTCCCTAAATTGGTTCCTGGTAGTAAATCACAAGCTTAGAAAGAATATTATAGTCAAATAATTACTAAGTATTCTAGACTGAAACACCAAAGTAGGTTGGTTAGCATTTTTTAAATCCATGCATACAAAAAGAAAAACTACCACTAAAACCATATGATGTTTGAGGTGAACTAAATTCAGTTTACTGGTTTCTGAATCTTACAAAGTAAATTCTCATATTAAATGGCCAATTACTAATAAGGAGATCTTAGGAATAGAAAAAGATATTTCTAGCTGTATTTTATTACATTTTTGACAATCTTTTTGACATCTTTAAAAATAATTCTTAAAATGCCTTTAAATGAAACTTTCTCCTTTGCATTGATTACCACCTGAAAAAATATGTTTTGAATTTTCTGTTTCATTTACTGCTACATTTCTAGTATCTAGAATTGCACCTGGCACATAGTAGATACTCAGTAAATAATTATTGAATAAATAAATGAATAAATTTAATGTACATGTAGTTATTAAAATATAAAATAAATGTACAGTAAATATTGAATTCCATTTGTTCATCTAGATATAAACTTTCAAAGTAAAAAAACCCGAATTTTGATCTAGTCTTAGTAGATAAACTGCAAAAATAGGTGTTTTTTTTAAAACAAATAATAGTGATTACTAATAAGTAGTGGTTCTGCAACTTACCACAACATTTGAATTGCCCAACTTCTGTGTCTTCGAATAATGAAATAAGAACTGTTTTTTTAAAAAAAGTAATGAGTTTTACTATAAAAGATTAGTGGTTTCCTGTATTATTTTTTAATGTGTATATTTATAAAAATCATCTTACCCTTTTGGTATTATCTTTTTCATCTTGTTCCTATTGAAAGATATATATATATCACTATATTATACATATTATAAAATTCTGATATATATTATATAAGTAAACAATTTATACTGTTATAAAATTATATCATAATTTAAAACATGACACATATATAAAATACAAACTGAAATTAGTTAAGCATCTGTTGTTCTAAAAATAAGCAGGAAATTAAATACTGTTTACAATAAAAATGTGAACAAAAATCTTTACTACAACATTATTCATAAGAGTAAAATATTGGAAACATACTAAACGTACAACAGTTATTGGATTGGGAAACTATGATATAATCACAATGGAATACTGAGAGAAAAAGACTAAAAGAATCATATCAAAATATTTGTACTTGTCACTAAATAATAAGATTATGAGCTATTTTTGCTTTCTTCAATAAATTTTTCTACATTCCTCTCTCTTCAAAAATTTATGTTTTTAAAGAGTCATCTCATTCCTTTTTTCTTGTTCTTTCTTGTTCTCATTTGCTTTGAATACAAAAGGAAGATCATAGATAAATACCACTGTCATTTCTTTTACCTTAATTAAGAAAAAAAAAATCAAATAAGTTTTCTGGAAAATGTTGCCATTAAAAACAATGGATAAATATACAGTTGCAAACACAGCTTATTTAGTTTTGGAAAACATATATACTTTCAAACTATCAAGGTTTCTTTCTTTGAATTATTGTATATGCAAGTATGGACATCAGAGTATACCAATGATCACAGTTTGGATTAGAATTGAGAACGAAAAACATAATGCTAAGCCTAAGGGTCTTACCTTTACTAGAGCAATTGTCAAATAAGTTCACCCAGAAGATACAGAATATAAAAGGAGGTGTGGTGCTTATGCTATTTTTCAAGTTCCCACCTATCCTCCCTTCAGAACAAAAAGTTCTCACAGAAGGATCAAATAATTTTAATAAGAAACAAAGACACAAAAGAATATAATTTTCAAACTGACATTGACAATACAGTTTGTCTTTTTTGCATTCTTAATGTCCTACTCTCTAAGAAAGTATAATATCCTTATGTCCAAGCCATAAGGTATGTTTAGCAGCCTGGAAAGATGCATCTGTTCTCCAATGTAGCATGAGTCAAGGAGAGAAACAGAGCCAACAAAACCCCAAATTCTTCTCATCAGACTGGATCACATTTTATACTTGAGAGGGACATATGACTTCCTAATGAAATGATTATAAACTCCATTAATATGACCCTAAATTCTCAGACATCAGTGAAACTGAAGTATTTGCTTCTTACCCGAAATCAATTTCTCTTCTTCCCCCCTCTTGACATAACTTCCTAAATTGGGCATATTTTCTTCCAGGAGGAAGTCCAAGAAATTTTGGGGCAGTTTTTGCCTATAAATAAAACACTATTTCAACCTTACCTGAGGCTTTGGTAGAATCCTCATAATTGCAAAGCACAGCTCCTCCAGTGCACTGGATGCCTGATGGAAATGAGAAGATATACAAGCTATGCTTCTGCTTGAACAATATTTGCATAGAAGATACAACTGTGAAATGTTATGAGCACAAGGATATATAAGCCAACTACCTTCTTGTGAAAAAAAATCCTTCTTGTAGACCATTGAAACTGTTGGAATCCCTTTATTTCTCTCATGACACAAAGTTGGCTGCTAAAAATAAAAACTTCCTTCCAACCAGGTAAAAAATGTTATGTACTGTATACAGGCAAGGATGAAGGCTTCCACTGTGGTGCAGATACAGAGTTTTCAGCACTTCCTAAGATATCATGAAATTCTATGACAGAGTAATCAGGGCAATGCCAAAAGAGGGATTATTCTTCCCAGCTTGTAGCAAAATCTGCATCTACATGCCAAAGCTGTGAGCCTAGCTGAATATTACTCATTATTGGCTAATTTGAAAATCTTGCAACTGCTCGCAGACAATGGGAACTGGAGGAGAGGAAGCCATGCACGGTGCACCTAATCTGAGTACCACCCTTCCAGGTGCTGACTGCACACCCCAGGATCAGGTTTTTCAAAGATTGAGCACAGAAGTAGGGCAGGGCTCCTTGTGGTTAGCAGCCAGCTGGGCGTGGTAAGGAACAGCACAAATGGACAAGCAGGGGCAAAACTTGCTTTGCACAGAATTTAGCATGGTAATACCATAAACAATTGATTGCTTAACAAATGTATTTTGGAAGTAACAAAGAGGGGGAACGGTGGGGGCACTATAATTAGTGGTTAAAAGCATGGGCTATGAAGTTGGGCAGCCTGCATCTCTACAGTGCAAATTCCATTTCTACTCTTTATGAGCTGTGTTATCTTGGGCTGGATACCTAACCTCTCTAAACATCAGTTTCTTCAGCCATAAATCAGGGATGACATCACTGCAGAGTGTTCTTGGAAGGATTAAATGTAGGTAGAGTTCTTAGATTTGCTTTATAGCTTGTATTACTCTTAATTTAGAAGATACATGAAAAGGATTGTTCAGGGACACCAATATTCTCACCCTTTGAACAACGATGCATACTTAACATGGTTGATTATGGTTAGGGATACAACTCTTAATTTAGAAGATACATGAAAAGGATTGTTCAGGGACACCGATATTCTCACCCTTTGAACAACGATGCATACTTAACATGGTTGATTATGGTTAGGGATACAATTAGAGTTGAGACATAGTTTCTCTATGCATCCTTCCTAGCAGCAGAGATCTGCTTTGTTCTCTTCATTCCATTTGTTTGCCTGCGATGCAAATCGTTGTGATATTTATTAATAATGGCTCAAATTTATATAGTGCTTCAACAAATTACAAACATTTTCATATACATAATTTGCATTCTGTCATTAAACACAACTGTAAGTTATATAAGACAGAAATTGTTATTTTCATGTATTGAGGAAATGAAGTTTTAAGAGACTTGCCCAATACCACACATGGCTAGTAGCTGGTAGAGTGTGGCCTAGGAGTTAGGTCTTCTGACCTGTAGATATTCCTGTGCCACACTAGTATTGCCTGTTATGCCTGTAGCTGGGAGTTGGATGAGAGAAAAAGCAGAGTGTGAACACTGATACATCCTTTCTCACTTGTTCTGCTTCAGGGCTGGGTACACAGGTCACTCCATCAAAATCTGGAAATAAAGTCCCTAAACTTCCTTTTTTGGTCCATTTTGAAATGCTAAAAAATACAAAACAACAAAAAGAAAATATCTAGTGATGTCATGTGTCAAAGATATATCTCAATTTGAAGAAGAATAAGTTCACATATACGAGTTGTTTTTCCTTAGAAAACAGTTTCTAGACCAGATGAGGCTTGGCAATTTGACTGAAAAAGTTTCAGAACAAATGCATTTTCTCCAGCTCCTCTTTACCAGAAGCTATTATTCTCAACTGTACTTTGAAGATTTTTCATATATGAAATTTTTAATTTAATTTTTTTTATATATAGACCTTAAAGATCCTTCATTTTCTATTTGGTAAAAATGTTTTAAAGCACTGTTCAGATAATCACATAAATAATAAGTTACTGTGAAATTTAATGATGTTTTAAAAATGTATCAAATTGTATTACAATTTACATTATAAATATGAAACATTCAAAGGGTAAATTTACCAAGCTTTTCTTAAAAGGTGCACAGTACTGAAATTCTATAAAAGGTTAGTTTATCTTGATCTATGGGGTTTAAGTGAGTACTTTAAAATTCATCCTCCTAGTACTATAGAAATAAAAGTCATTCTGAGTATGTTCCTGAATTTTAAATACAATATAAATGCTTGTATGCTGATTAATATCCATCTCATGTTATACATCCATCAATGCTCCTCAAGTAATTTGAGATAGTGTCCAAAAATGTCATCTATTGTGATCTTGGTCTTGCAGTACTATATAATGCCTGTAACTCTCTGCAGGTGATTCTCTGCAATCTGCAGATTGGTTTGAGGCAGGAGAGATATAGCACTATACAAGGGTGCCTCTTCACACCAGCAGGATAACATTCTGGAAGGACTGTGGAGACAGGAGCCTGGGCACCTTGGCCAGACTATGTACGAAGTACGCCCCCCACACACAGCTGATGGCTCTGAAAGACAAAGCCAGGAGCCTCGACTGAGCCCTATTCTCAAGAGACTAGTGGTACTGAATAAGAAAGTCAAGATACGAAGACTAACTCTGCTCTCCCTGCTCTCATAGAGCTGTAGACAGAAGTAGCAGCATCCAGTAAAGACAATGTAAGCAGAACACACTATTTCCCACTCCTCATGTTTCCATGCAGAGGAGCTAGACTAGCACTCCTGACCCCTCTCTCTATCCCTCTCTTTAACCCTTTCCTATGGTTAGAGAAGTGAGCTCTCTGATAGGTGAATTGGGAGGGGGAAGTTGGGCATGCTCAGTTCAATTCTTTCCTCGTAGGGAGGCACTCTGGCTGGCTGTTCTTGTCTGGTCTCTGCCCTGTGGCTGGGAACCTGACTGGTGGGAAGCCAAGAGTCACTGTCTGAGACTTGCAAGCAAGTTTAATTCTGGGAGCAGTGTTAGCAGACACACTTGGCATCATATCTAAAGCCACATTCACGAATTGACTTTTCAGTTCTAATGATGATACTTTGATCTCCATAAGTCTGACATAAATTTTCCTGCCGGTGGGTTTCAAACTCAATTGGGGGATAGGATATTAGCCCCCAAATACAGTGATACATACAGTATTTTTAATTTAACACAGAATTTGATTGTGAAATTAGCATTTTAATTTGACATACCATAATTTCTAAAATTCTTGTATATTAACTGTAAATCCATTTTATTTAGAGATAAAAGTCCTAGCACTCTACAACATAAGCCCATAGTATTGATTATTACCTGCAGATGATGTAATAATATCTAATATATGGACATGCTTTATTGAGTCCATAAAGGTCCAACGGGAAAAATGGAGAATTTCACCACTACATAAAATGCCTACATTATTATAAAACACTTCTAATTGAAGTTACCTGAGGCTGGGAATCAATGTACAGAAAAGAGGAACAAGCATCATCTATCTGTAGAAAACAAAAATGTCAGTTACATCCTGGAAGTAGACAAAATAGAAAGTAGATTTGACAAAGTCAAGTTACGTATATAAAATTCATCAAAGTTTCATGATAGCTGAAGACTCTGGATTTGGAAGAGAGGAGGCTCTAAAACTATAAGAAAGTACTGGAATTGGGATTTCCCCAAGATTCACTCCCAGCCACAGGCGTGCATGTCCCCAACAACAGTTGATAGGGATCATCACAGAGTATAAAGATGACTCAAACATCGAGGGAAAGAACTCCTGGTGTTATTCAGCCTGAAAAATGTGAGAAGTAACTAAAGACTGGCCTTGAAATTAAGGAGCACCTTCAGTTATCACGTGGTTATTATTTATTATTTACTTACTACACATGAATCTAATGTCATCTAAATTAACATGATAATAGCATGATAAACAGCATACAGGAAAAACTCTTAAAACAGCCTAGGCAATCCACCAATTCTCTACCAGAACTCTATAAAAGAGTTCTATTTTATAATGAAGATTTATTGAACTACAGTCAGCAACTAGCTATTCTCAGCCTCTATCCTAAACCGAAAGCTTGAGAGACTTTAAACTGTAGTATAAGATTTATATTAATCATAAAAAATCTGTGCTGAGAAGTTAAGCACTAAGCTGGATATCTGGAGTTGTTTATGGCATTTATTTCTTTGGTGGCCTTTTAAAATGGGACTGGAAAAAAATGGTACTGATTCTCGTTAGTCTGGAATGATGTAGATTGAGTCCTGTTAATGGCATAACATCGTAGAGACCCCTTCCAGTCCCAGAATTCTTTGTCGATCAGTTAAACTTAAATCTTATTCTCACATCAAACTGAAGGGGAGGATTATTGTACTTTTCAGTTGTAATTTCTCAAGCTCCTAATTGCTTCCAAGTTGAACATGTCCTAAAATATATGATTCTCTAATTTAGAAAATAACCAAGGTAAACAACATTACAGCAAAGCATAAGCTTATGTCTTACTCCTTTCTATTCTCACAGAACCTGTCATCTTCTCTATACATCACCAAAACTTGGGAATTGTTTTATTTTACTCGTCCCTTGTGCCCACCCACCTGCTCCCTCTTCCATGCCACACAAACCCAGAATCATGGATACAAAGACACACACCCATGTACACACACAGTGACAAACTTCTTGAGGGCAGGGGCTATGTCACATATAACTTGCCCAGAATAAGTTTTCAATAAAAATTCTTTAATTAAATTAACTTGAACTTGTGAAAAAAATAAAAAGGAAGAAAACTGAGAGGGGAAAAGCCAAAAAGATACCCTTTTAAGCTCTGAATTTTGACCAGTGCTTAATACATCATCCCCAAAGGTTCTCATGTTTGCTTTAGTAGCTCAGGAGAAAGTGGTTCCTCCTGCCCTTTTTGCAGTGTGTAGTTATCTGAAGACATTACACATTCAAGGGCAAAGGCCAGTTGGCCCATCTATTTGAGGTGGCCTGTGTCCAAGAACATAGAACCCTTGAAACCCAGGACTAACTAATCAGTGCATCAACATCACTTGAATAAAAACATCAGAATAAAAAAACAATTAATCAAATTAGGAGACACCTGCAAAGCTTTTCAGTCTTTGTTCTCTTTTCTTTGAAAGGCATAACACTGCTCCCCACTTTCCATTTGGGTGAGAATTTGTTCTTTTCACTCAGGTAATGGCTCTAATGGTTTCAAGTGCCATGAACTGCTTTTGAGAACTCTGTAGTTCTTTGGTGAATCAATTTGAAAATGGTTAGGTCTCTAGATAAGGCTAGGAAAATATGAGTTTCTAGTGTCTGTAACTTTTTAAAAATAAAGTAGAAAAATTAACTATATGTTTTCAGCATCTTAAGTTTTTAAAATATCTTTTTATGTAAAAGAATTTATAGTGCTTTCACAACTCTGATTTTCTTCCAGAATTATCATCTAAAATATTTTCCCACAGAATTTCCCTGGAAATATAGATGATTCCTAGCTAAAATAAATGTTTATGTATTATACATTAATACACGTTGTCTAAATCATTCTTAATGTTGTTTACATTTCCAGCATGTATTCTGATATTCTACTAAGGCAAAGACCATTATAATAGACTATGAACTTCTATACTATTAAAAACTGTTTTGTACTTGGCATCTTTTCCCTTATGTATTTTGTTGGGGGTGGCCTAGGTACAAAGGGTGTTCTCCTCGGTTCATAGCTCACTATCATCATTAGCTACATTTTACTTATTTATTTATTCTTTTTCATATTTCCAATTCTTACTCCCATTCCATCCTCCTATAGGCAACTCTTCTAATGTATTTGATATGTATCCTCCATTTGCATATGTTTTTGTAAATTCTGTATTGCTTTTTTTGTGCATGTATGGTATTTTTCTTACCTTTTTTTCACTTACCACTATCCTTTGAGATCTATCCATGTTGCTGGGTGTACATCGGGTATGTTGTTTCTAACTGTTGTAGAGTACTCTATAATGTATACCCACCACATATTGCCTATCTACTCCCCAGTGATGGACAGATGGGTCCCCCCCCCAATTCCTTCCATTATAAACAAAGCTGTAATCAATGTCCTGGTATGATTACTATTTTCTCTGCATATGCATCTGTAGAATATCTTTGGGCTCTATACTCAGGAGAGGGAATGCTGGATCATAGGGCTCTCTAGGTTTTCCAGAAGGCTCCAGTTGACACTCTAACCAGCAATGCACGAGGGTTTGTATACCCTACATCCATGCTAAAACTTGCCATTAAATAGATTCCAATTTTTTGCCAGTCTAATGGGTGGAAAGTGACCTTTCTTTATCGTCCTAATTTACATTTTATTGTTATTAATAAATTTGAGTATCTTTTTATATCCTTGTTGGGCTTTTGGGCTTCCTCTTTTATAGATTGTCTGTTCTAATCCTTTTGACTATTTTAATCTAGGATTATGAACTATATCCATTTGATTTGATAGTGTCTTACACATTCTAGAAAAGCAATCCCTTATCAGTACTAGACATTGTTAATATCTTCTTTCAAAGGCTTTTACCTTTTCCATGGAATCCTTTGTAGAAAGAAATCTTTACTTTTTTTTTTTTCCCTTTTTGTCTTTTTTCGTGACTGGTAACGGGATCGCAACCCTCAGTGTCGTGCCCATACCGCGACCGGCAATGGGATCACAATCCTCAGTGTCGCACCTGCACCGCGCTCAACCAGTGATCGGACCGGTCTCTATATGGGATCCGAACCCTTGGCGGGAGCACCGCCACGCTCCCAAGCGCCGCACTCTACTGAGTGCGCCACCGGGCCGGCCCAGAAATCTTTACTTTTAATGTAATCCAATTCATTATATTTTTGGCCTTATGATTAATATAAGGGTACTTCAAAAAGTTTGTGGAAAAATAGATTTAAAAGACAATATGAATCTTTCCATGAACTTATTGAAATACCCTCATATTTGAAGTTTTGTTTAAGAAGTTTTCCTGCTCCTAGCTCACAAAGATATTGTTCTACATTATCTTCTATTAACTATATAATTCACCCTTTATATTTAGGTCTTTAATCCATCTGCATCCCATTTTCCTCCACACTGCAAGCCAGTTTCTCAACCCTCATTTGCCAATCTGTTTTTCCCCCATTAAGTTTTAATGTTATTTTTTATTGTAGGTTAATTTTATGTGTGTGTATATCTGCCTTAGGTTGGGTTCTCCCCAGAAAAAGACCTTGCAATAAGGATGTGAACGCAAGCAGATCATTTCAAAGATGATCCAAGATGTACTGGGAGAAGAGTGGAGAAGTAAAAAGGGAAGAAAAGGAATCCAATAAAGGGTATGTTTTCGAGCAGGTTACCACTGTGAATAACTGGGGCTCAATCTGTCTGAGGAACTCTGGAAGACAGTGTAGAACACTTCTCAGAGTTATCCCAACTGAGAGTTGAGGCAACTAAGGTATTTGTCCACCAATTCTCTTCGGTCACCAATTGAGGGCTACTCTCAGGGGTGGGGACATTTACTCCCAGGCACTTCTAGATGGCTCCATACACAGGCAGGAAAGGCAGAACCACAGATGCAATTAGAAACACTGGGACGCAGCAAGGACAGCCTATCCGCCCCCCAATCAGCACAGGACCGCTCAGAGGAGAACGTTTGGGAATGCAGTTCGATGAAAAACTCAGGCCCAGATCAGAGTTTCTACACAACCCAGGTGCACTGAGTATCTGGAGAGCCAGAAGTACCTGTAAGGTCAACCAATAACCCCTGAACTGCACAAAAAGTCTTCCCTAAGGAAACAGCAGCAAGGCAGCAATTTAGCTAAACCACACAGCTCAAGTACTGGTTCCCACAGGAAGTTCCCCTGTGTTAGAGGCAAGCAAAGGACAAAAACTTAGTTCTGGCCCAGGCACACCACGAATGCCTTGGGGCCCACCAGGGGACATGAGGCATGGAGCCAGGGGCAGGACCCCCACCGACAACCACTCACACTGCCAGCACCTTGGGGCCCCACCCAGGAACCCGAGGATTAGAGCCAGGGACTGGACCCCACTCCCACATACAGGCACATCACCAATGCCTAGGGGCCCACCTGGGGACCCAGGGTTAGCATCCAGGGACCGGACCCCCTTCCCACAGCCAGGCATGCTGTGACAGTGTCTCAGGGCCCACCCAAGGACCCGAGGCATGGAGAAGGAAACCGGGCCACCCTCCCACAACCAGGCACACTCTGCAAGCACCTTGGGGCCTGCCCTGGGACCCGGGGCATGGAGAAGGGGACTGGATCCCCTTCCCAAAACCAGGCACCCTGTGCCAGCACCTCGGGGCCTGTGCTGGGACCCAGGGTGTGGAGAAAGGGACCAGACCCGTCTCCCACAACCAGGAACACTGCACCAGTGCCTTGGGGCCTGCCCATGGACCTGAGGCATGGAGAGGGGGACTGGACCCCCCTCCCACAACCAGGCACCCCTCGCCAGCACCTCGGGGCCTGCCCAGGGATCTGGGGCATGGAGAAGGGGACCAGACCCCCCTCCCACAACCAGGCACATGATGCCAGCGCCTGGGGACCCACTGGGAGACCCAGGGCATGGAACCAGGGATCAGACATTCTCCACAACCCGGCACACTGCCAGCACCACAGAGCAGGCCAAAAACATCTCCTCCATGTGGGTGGCCCACCACAGCCACCACGATAACCATGGCTGCTGCAAAGGTGGCTAGATGCCACAACCACCACACAGATGGTCTGCCAGCCACGGGAGTGAGTTGACACAAGGCAATTCACCAGCAGAGACATCTGAAAGGAGAAGGATGTCTGTCTCCACAGAGCCCACTTCATAGTGATGGAAGAGACATCTGCTCTATGATAGTATTGGGGGACTTGGCCATGCCTCTCAGCATTGGACAGATCATTTGGGCAGCAAATCAACAGAGTAACCATTATTCTTTCAGAGGGAGAGAAGAAATCTAGGGTGATTAGAGGGGAGTGGGGAGGGAAAGAAGGATGGGGGGATTGGACAAGGAACATAAAGAATAATTATGATTTGTAACAGTATATATGCTAGTAATATTGATTTGTTCAACATATCTCAATGTTGAACCCCAAAAATATGTATAATCAATTTTGATTCAATAAAAATTTTAAAAAAAGAAAAAATCCAATCTGAAAATCCCTTCCTGTCTTTTAAGTGGTATATTATAGCACATTAACATTTACTGTAACTACGCTTTTATTAGAACTTATTTCTACCTTCTTACTTTACCATTTACTGTACCTTTATTTCATTTCATCTTTCCTTCTCTTTTATTTAATAGAAATAATAATTCTGAATGTTATGTCTGAATAGTACGACATCAGAATATTGGTAAAATCATAGTTGCCCCAAAGCTCAATTATATTATTTTAATTTCAAAGAAAGGTAAAGTTTCCACTCATTTGTGTGAGAATAATTCTTTACCTCATTCCACAACTGTAGTTCTTGTTCGGGCTGTAATCCTTGAGGTAACATTGGAAAACCTAAAAATAAGTTATATGCATGTGTTAATTTTATAATGTTTTTTCTGAAATCAAGTATCTATATATAATCCTTTTTCAGATGCCATTTCTCAATTTTTACCATATATCACTGCCCACCTATTTCAAGTAGATATTTCAGCATTTGACTTAGTACAAGGAGACATAATTATTAAATGAACATTAATAACATTACAAAGACATTACTCTCAAGAATACATTACTTATATATCTACATAATAACTTGTACACAGATGTTTATAGCAGCATTATTCACACTAGCTCAAAGTAGAAACAATCCAAATGTCCATCAACTGGTGAAGAGTTAAACAAAATGTGGTATATCCATACAATGAAATACTAATCAGGCATAAAAAGTAATAAACTAAACAACATATGCTATAACATGGATAAACTTCAGAAACATTATAGTAAATCAAATAAGCCAGATAAAAGACCAAATATTGTATGATTCAATTAAGTGAAATGTCTATAAAAGGCAAATCTATAATAGAAAAATTAGTAGCTACCTGAGGCTAGTGGTCAGAATGGAGATTGATTGTAAATGGACATAACAGATCTTTTAAGTGAAATGTCTATAAAAGGCAAATCTATAATAGAAAAATTAATAGCTACCTGAGGCTAGTGGTCAGAATGGAGATTGATTGTAAATGGACATAACAGATCTTTTGAGGCTGATGGAAACATTCTAAAATTGTATTATGATAGCTGCACAATTCTGAGTCTACTAAAAAATCACTGAATTGTATCTTTAAAACAGGTGAATTTTACAGTATATAAATTATATTACAACAAAAATTTTTTTAAAAAAGGATTACTTGTTAGGGCCTTAATTATTATTGAAATAAAAATGTTACCTAGCTTCCAACCTCTAAAATAATATTTTCTCCTTGGTTTAATTTTCTAATTCATACTATGAAATTTATTTATATTGTCTCAGTGTTTTCAGTTTTTTATGACTATTTAAATATAATTAATATTTATTTTCTTATAGGTATACATTTATTTTTACTAAATCAAGAAAAATTACATTTATCTCTACCAAAATCAAGAAACATTACATTTATCTTTACCAAAATCAAGAAAATGTCCTGAACTAAAAGGCTGTAAATTTTTTTTAAGATTTAACATGTAGCAAAATTAAACACTTTAAAAAATAGGCTTAAGGAAGAGAACTTTTTAAAAAATAATAATAAAATAGTACCTACTAACACTGATTGAGCATTACTGGACACCAGATACTATGCTACCAACCTCTCAAGACAGATATTATGATGATGATGATGATGATGATTATTATTCCCGTTTTAAGATGAGGAAACTGTAGGAAGGAGGGATTCAGTAATTTGTCTAAGGTCACCTAAAAAGATACATAGCAGAGGCAGGTTTCAAACCAAGTCTGGCTGACTCCAAATCCTGATATAACTTTCTTCCCTAATTCTACCATTTTTTAGTCAAGTCTTGCCTTGAGTTCACACAAGTTTTTACTGTTATTCCATTTAAACTCTAATATTACCTGTAATTAACTATATTTTCTGAGGTACTGAATATTTGAAATAACTTACAGGGGTCATGTAGTCCGTAGTAGAGAATTGATTTATTTCAGAACTTGAATCCCCCTTTCATGGGACAACTACTCAAGGTGGGTAAACAATCTTACACACTTCTCAATTATGTATTTCCCACCCTACCACAAACATATATCCCAAAGTCACAGTTGTCTGGAGGATCACACTCTGAGCTCATTCTGTCTTCAGGAAGGGATAAAGCCGTGCTTCTCCAATTTTCATATAAAGCACCTGGTGATCTTACTAAATGAGATTGTTGGACAGGGCATTCCTGCTTAAAGAATGCCATTTCATATTCTTAAACTCCTGACCATCCCCCACCCACCAGTAAAAGTTGAAGCTTCCACCTCTACTTTACTGCATTGGGCCACACTGCCTCACCAAGACCATTGAGAGTTTGCCTCCTTCCATGTCCCAAGCTTGCACAGGCCACTCAGAAATTGCCATTATGCCTAACTTAGTCCCAAGCACTTACGTAAAATCAAAAAGGGGTACTTTGTTGCCCTTCCACAAAACATGTAAATACAGTCTCAGGGTAAAAAGACTAAAGAGGCCAAAATAAAAAATATATATATTTTTCTATAATTTATAGAAAACCACTAATATCCACTGATATCCTATGACTGAACTCAAATGTAAAGGGAAATTTTTTTTTTTTACCTTTGTTGGTTAACTAGTGTTGATGTGATTTTCCTTCCAAGATGCCTGGATGATACCAAAGAGCAGTATTTAGGTTATTTTCCATATTTTCAGACAGTGCCACTATCTTCTACATCACAAAAACTGCACTGTTTTTGATCGGTTTCATTGAGATATTTATATATACTTCAGTGCTATCCAATAAAGTGAAATCTTCAATCTTATACAATATACTTGATGCAAATAATATGGACAGACAACTTTTACATCTGTAAACACACCATGTGTAAGAGAAAGAAAAACAGATCTGATTATTCTAAAAGTGATTCCAATTTTCTTTTCTCATTGCTAGTACCTAACCAGTGTAGGAGTGGGAAAGTGAGAAATCATTACTCCTGACTGAAAGTTAAGAATTATTCAATGAGCAAGGGACTGGGGTAGGAAAAGATACTCTAATTTAGTCTTGGGCATTTGATCACTTATTGTCACAGGCAAAATCAAGTGATAGTTTGCTGCAGATATACAAAATGTGTTCCTCTTACAGGAAATTTCCTCCTTTACTTCCACAATGTTTTCTTAATAGTAAACTGTTTCCATCTACCGAACCTATGCCTGGCCCTTTATCTTCTCATTGTATTGGATGTTCTGCTAATTCATTTTTTGCCGAGGATGCGACACTTATTGACACTCTTTTACTTTCTTCTGGCTTTGTGACATTTGCTGTTTTTAGATACACCCAGTTACATCTTGCATACTAAGTGATCTTGTAGACTATCTCTAGTTTCACTTATGTATGTCATGTGTCCTCCCAGTGCCATCATTAGGGACTCAGGACCAGGGCAGATCACAAAGTATATTTATCTTCTCCCCTATCCACGACATTTTTACAGAGATAAAATTAGTTTTTTGGTATTAAGAACAGGTCTGAAGGGGAAAGAAGAAATAAAATGACAGTCTGGGGGGTCTCTGGGTAGTGAAGGAGGCGTCTCATCCTTTTGCCTGAAAAATATTAGGAATATTGATGAGACGACTGGTCAGCTAGCCAGCAGATATGCTCTTTTGGAAATAAAACCCAAGTCTCGTTTTTTTTTTTAGGAACCAGCTGCTGCCTTCCATAGTTACTGCTCAATCACCAGCAGCCTGAACCCCTCCCCACGCAGTTGTTATCTCCCACCCATGCAAAAATCACGGCAGCATATAGCATGTGCACATTTTCTTTACTTTTAAAACTATTATCTGCTTCCTTAAGAAGGTAAAGATAACCATCCTAATTTTACCATAACAAATTTAAAATTGAAAAGGATGAACATTTACCTTGCATAAGTCATGTTGTTTCACTACTGGCTACGTGGAGAAGGCTTAGGTCTGCTAGCTTCTGATTGCCTAGATTTCAAAGCCAAATTTCCTTCCTTTTCAAGCAGGGGAGCCCCACTCACTCTCACACACACACATGCTCACAACCACCCAGGAAAAATCAAAACAATGAAAGAAGAGCACTAAAAATAAATAGAGTAGGAAAAGAATGATAGCCTCTGTTTCCCCATCTCTAACTGAGGGCTGGGCTACGCGCTCTGCAAGGTCTGTGCAGTTGTGATTTTTAAGTCCCCAGTTTTCTGAACAATGACGAAACAGTCTGCCCACTTTTATGTCACTGACAGGAGAGCAGAAGGAAGCTAAGAGAACCTGATGTCAAGCTAGAAAATTCATGGCGGTAGCAGAGCAGTGGCTGGCACTGGATGGGCCCCTGACTCAGAAGAGCTCAAGGACGAATGATGGTCCCCCCAAGTACCTGGACAGGTAACCTTTAGAGAACCAGGGAAGTGATCGTCCACTGGTACGTTTGCGCTCTGCTCTGCCTTGTCCCCGAAGCTTCAGACTTCACTCTCTGACCTTGCTTTTCCTATTTCTTTCCTCTAAATCAAGCTCAGGACGTCCCTGTTATCAAACCGCCTCTGTCTTCATTGGCCTTAGCCGTAGCACCGCCTGAAAGCCCGGGTTGCACGTTTGCCTCTCCAACTTTGTGTACTGATTAAGTCTGCATTCCTTTTCCTGATCTGGTGCCTGGAAACCTACGAGGCACAGAGCCCACTCTTTTCCCTTCTCAACGGCTAGAATGGAGTCCGGCTCACTGTCTGGGGTTATCTGAACAGAACACAAGCTCACTCACCTGAGAGCTGAGCACTCTCCCAAGCTTACCTCGCATCGGCAAGTGAAGTATCCATCTCCCTCTTGTTTTGCTTCAACCATCAAACCCTCCCATAATTGCAATCAAAGGGAAAGCATTTTAATTTTCACTATTTTAATTCCCGTTACCCCTGGGCCACGGGGGCTGGAAGTCACGACTCTAGTGGAGCCCGATAAGTTTCCAACAACCGCAGCCCGCTCCGCACCGGCTCTCGGCTGGGCGCCAACGCTCCGGGCCTGGGGAAAGCGCACGAGCCAGGTCACCCGCGCCTGCGCCTCTGGCTGCCCCGGGACGGCGACCCTCGCCTGTCGTCAAGGGCAAGAACCCGAGGGGGAGGTGGGTGCAGCAGCGGGGAGGCGCGAGAAGCGCGCGTGGCAGGACCGGGGAGGCGCGAGAAGCGCCCGTGGCAGGACCGGGGAGGCGCGGGGCTGTCCTACCTCGGCAGGCGCCCGCGCAGCAGGCGAGCAGCAGCAGCAGGAGCGGGGACGCCGCGGCCGCCTGTC